AGCTACATAGGAACATAAAAGAAGCCACATTGGATCAGGCCCATCCAGTCCAACACTCTGTGTCACACAGTGGCCAAAACCCAGGTGACATCAAGAGGTCCACCAAGCGCGGCAAGTACTCCAGAAGCCCTCCCACTGTTGACCCCCAAGCACCAAGAATACAGAGCATCACTGCCCCAGACAGAGTGTTCCATCTACGCCTGGTGGCTAAGAGCCACTGATGGACCTCTGCTCCATGTTTATCCAATCCCCTCTTGAAACTGTCCATGCTTATAGCTGCCACCACTTCTTGTGGCAGTGAATTTCATGTGTTACTCTTTGGGTGAAAAAATACTTCCTTTGGTCTGTTCTGAACCTACTACTCATTAATTTCACTGAGTTCCCACGAGTTCTGGTATTGTGAGAAAGGGATAAAAGTACTTCTTTCTCTGCTTTCTCTATCACATGCATAATTTTTGTAAACCTATATCATGTCACCTCTTAGTCATTGTTTCTCCAAGCTAAAAAGCCCTAACCTCTTTAACCTTTCTTCATAGGGGAGGTATTTCATCTCCTTAAACAGGACCGTAGCTACGGTGGGGCTTTTGGGAGCTCTGCCTCTTCTTAAAGGCACAGCTCCACAAGAATTTCTCCTGTCAATGCTTTTTTCAATCATTTTAAACATTTTTTTAAAACCGTGTGCTCCTTTAAGCAGAGTGGGGTGCTGTAGTTGACTAATTCTCACACTGAGCAAGGGAATTGAAGTAGGTGACCTTTAGGTTCCCTTCTAACTCTGTGTCAAAAAACTGGTCTCCTCTAAGAGAGTTTTTCCTCCCTAAGTATGAGCTTTCTTGACTATAGAAACACCCCCACCTGCCGGCTTGTAATCAGAATTTTGCTTAGGCTAGCAGAAGCGATTAACTTGCAGCAGCTGAAAACTGTCATCTAAAGTGGTTGGCAACTTGCAATTCAGAGATCTACCCTGGTCACAGCTTTCCATCGACCAAATGGCTTTTCTTTCTGCACTGAGTACTTCAGCCCCACCAGGAAAGAATTTGCCCTGGGCACGTAAGAATCCTGGCTGTGGGCTTGCCCTTAACCATTTGAGTTGCAATTTGGGGAAAATGGCTTCCTCCGACATGAATGTAGACCAGAATACCTAGTTGCATTGCACAGGTTGGACATGGCAGGTGCATCCCTTGCTATGGCCAAGCCAGGCCAGGAGCATCCCTGACCATAGCAAACCCAGGTTGGGTACATCGGGGGGGGGGCTGGGCACGTCCTTTGTCACTACAGGTGAGGCTGGGCCAGGTGCCACCTTTTCCATGGCTGTGCAGTTTGGCCAGGCACCTCCGACTCAGGGTTGGCTGGGTCCTTTCCCCAGGGCCACTCCCCTAATTTACCCCGGAAGAGAATGATTATTCTTCATATCCTTCTGTCTGGCCCAAATGGGAAATATTTAGCCAATTACAAAATCCGCATCTTTTGTGCAGGTATGATGTGGCAGGTGCCTGGAAAATAAAAAGACTTAATGTTTCCCTTGTCCAACCCACCCTTTCTTTCCAGTTGCGGGGGGGGGGGGGGATGCTGTGTCGATTAATAACCAGTGGCTGCACTGAGGAAGGAAGGAAATTGGGTGACGTTTGTCACAACCAGCCTTCACTTCTTTGAGCAGGTTAGATTTCTTGGTTTTCACTGAAATAAACTCGAAAACTTGCTTCAGGGGATCACATGGTACTTTGAAACACAACATGAGCAAAATTTGAGGTTTGGGGGGGGTCTTCTTTAATTTAATCAGGTCTTATCCCTTTCTCCTTTTATCTCCTTTGAACAGCCTAACAAACAATGCAGCTAGATATTCTGGTCTGCTTTCATGAACACCCGTGGCCAGCCCCGGTTTGGATCATACCACCATCGTTTCCACTTGACCTTTAGAGATGACAGAGGATGCTATTTCCCCCCAAGTGGCCTCATTCTGCATAAGATGCAATTTTGAGTCCCCCAAGTGAAATCCAGCAGCCCATTTATCAGTGTGGCTTTTCTAATCTTCCTGTGCCTTCCAAGTTCTTCTCCATCTGATGTAACACATTCAAAAATGGAGAAGCTTTCCTTTCATAATATATTTTATCGTTACATCAGCAGTAGGGTACGCCTGTTCATTTCCCCCCCCCATCTAGACAATTTTTGGGATGTAATGTCTGATCTGCATTTTCAGAGATTTCAGTTTTCATAGTTCTTGTAGCAAGTAGATCGTTTCAGAGGTTAGTCGTGTCGGTCTGGTCTGCCATACAAAGAGCTCGCTTCGAGTCCAGAAGCACCTTAGAGATTAACAAGGTTTTCGAGGTGTAAGATTTCGAGAATGAGATTTTCAGGGCACAGGCTTTGACTCATGAAAGCTCACACTCTGAATACCTTGTTGGTCTCTCAGGTGCTACTGAACTCGAAGCCAGCTGTTCTTGTGGCAAGTATAATCAGTATACTTGTTTTGTTCAAGGTATTATTGTTCTAAGGAAACAAAAACATTTATTCCCCCCCCCTTACCCCACCCCTTCTACTAGTGGAAAATGTAGTCTGAATCCAACCCATTGACTTGTTTTCCTGTAAAACTTTTCTAATTGATTATATAACATTTGTACTTTCTGGAAACATATTACTCCCTTCTTGTTCACTGCCGTCATTAAACATACAAAACTAGTATCTATGGGAAATCAAGATGGCCGACGAAATAGTTCACTTGGTAATGCACAATTCAGGCATCAGCAACAGAAAGGGTGTAGAAGAAACCATTGAGAGTATAATTTCAGGTTAAAAGATTACCTCTATTCTTAAAAGAATTAAAAAAAATACAGGGAAACAAATGTAACCAAAGTTGCCTTTCAAATTTAACTCTAGAAAACAGGCAACTCTGTGGGCCAATCCAAGAGCGCTATAAACACTGGCTTAAGCAGAGGGAACCTCAATCACAAAGACGGGGAGCACGACAAAGCCGGCTACAGTTTGAAAATGTTTAATTCAATTACTTTAGCTGGATAAATCCAAATTAAAAGAATTGTGTTGATTAAAAAAGCCATTGGGGGAACAAAGCATCTCTCACATTTATAGCTCACACACACATCTAATTTGCTAATTGTTTTTTAGAGCTCAGCGACAGAAAGTGAAGCAAGTATTTTGCAGCTGGTAAAAAAAAGAATTTCTTTCTGTACTCCATTATCCATAAAAATTACACAATTAGATACGGCTGTTAGAACTAGGAAACATTACAATAGTTGAAGTTCACAAAATTAAGATATTAAAACATTATATAAGGGCCCTGCTTCTCCCAATGGTTACATCTTACTTTGACAATACTGATCAGCAAGGTCTGCAGCAACTGTAGAGGAAATGGTAGGGAACTGATTTCTTCGGGAGCAAAGCCGTTCTTTCCTTGCTTTTTAAGGGCAAACAAGATTATATGAAAGATGAAGCTGTGAGCAGCATCCTCTTCTCTTCCTCCTCTCTCCCTGATAGGTCCTAATAAGACAACACATTACACAACATTGTTTTTCTCAGTTTCCCAACCCCCACTCGGCTGTACTGTATGCTGCTTGCAGGGGTAGGTGAAAGTGTTGAGTCTATCATAAAATGCATTATCGGACTTTCTGCAAGAAGTGGAGAACATGGTATGGCTATGTTTATGTGGAATATAGGAAGACACACTTAACTCTAGCATGTTCAGCGCTTGAAAACTGAGTATTCCTGTGTTTCTTTTTCAAAGCAGAAGGAAAAAGGCCCGGAAAACACTAGTGCTTAAAAAAAAAATGAATACTTCTGGAAAGGCTTATCATTCCAGTCTTCCAGAGAAATAAATTACATGTATAAGTGGCATGTGTTAAATTCGGTATTCCCAAATTCCAGAGGCCAGCTGCATTCATCTGTTGCTGCTAAAACAGGCATGGTGGAACCGTCAGGAATTTTTCATGCTAGCATATGCGTTCATGGTATGAGTAATCAGAGGAACATTCCAGTGATGAATATGAAAGAAGCAATCCACTATATAAAACATGCCTCAGCATTCTGGTTTTATTTGTTCAGCAATAAATAAGGCAGTCCACATTTTGAACAACTGGTCCTACACATTACCACAAAGGGTCAGAGCCAGATAAAAATTTCCACCCACACAACAGGGGAGCAGATTATCACTGATTCTGGCCTCCAGCCACCAACCTCCCCAATGTCTCCCCAAGCTATTCCTCAGGAGGGGGGTGTCCCCCATCCCCCATGAACAGCATAGGTGGGAGCAGGGAACTAGCATTTCTGCGTGGATCACCCTTCTTTCCACAGACATTGTAGAGGGCCATGGTCAAGAAAATTAGGTTATTGGTCTGTTTGTCCAAATAATCTGCAAGTATGGTCTGAGTGGAATCTTGTATAAGATACCCCTACAAAACTGAAGGTGACATTGTATTCTGCCTGTGACTAGCCTTAGCAGTGTGCGACTGATAAATGAATTAGTACGTATACATACACAGCCCAATCATGTTGAATCCATGTGATAAGTCTACCAGATTCAAAGCACCAAGTGAATTAGCCAATTTGAGTAAATGTTTTCTTATGAATCTTCAATGTGCAAACAACAATTTAAGATCAATCAAAGAGTAACTAACTTCCTTTGGTATATGTTTGTGCTATGAACACACAATAGCAAAACTGTGTTTTATATTTCAAGTTTAAGCAAAAGCTATATTCTAGATATACATTTTGTAATATAGAAGTAATTTCAGCATAGATATGCCCATCTGACAAACAATTCTAATATACCTATAAAATACATTCATTAGAGTACAACATTGTATTGCACATTTTGTTAAAATTTCAAACTGTCAGCAATACACATAAAAATATACATATTTTGTGTCGGATTTAAGAAATCCGGCAAGGACGTAAAATTGTTTTATAAAGTACAGCACATAGTGAAGAAAGCATGCTGGCCCATTCAATACTGAGAGCCAACAAAATGTATCTCTTTTCATTTAGATCATGGTTGAATTGCCTCCCATCTAGTAGCCGAGCCACATTACAGTCACACAAGGAACGATTTTATAGTCAGGCACAAGACATGATGCATTGGTGCCTTACCGAAAGAATAAAGCCGGATATAAAATACGTGTGCAAAATGAAAGGGCACATATAGTCTAAATATGCAACAGAAAAGAAAAGAAGGTCTTATTCATGTTGGTGATTCAAACATTCAGAGAAGGCACAATATACAGTCTTCAAAAGATGGTCTCATCTCTGAATGCAGGTGGAGAACAGGTATTTGAAAACTCGCCATTAAAAAAAAAATACACACACACATATATTATAAACTAGCATATAAAGAAGAAAGGCTCTTCCTGCCTTTCTTTCTACCTGATATGCTTGCTTTCCATAGGCACAGATTTTTGATAACAGAAAGTATTCCACCTGCATTTTGAAGTGGTACGGTCTGGGGAGGGCTGCCCCACACTGTTCCTGTGTGTTTGAAAGGGCTCTCTTAGCATTTTACTGGCGAAAGGATTTACAGTGCTCGCAATCGTGCTAGCAGGGCTTCCACTTCGGGAATTGCTTCTCGTTTGGTAGAACATCCAGAAAGCTCCCCTTCCTTCTCTCTGCTGCTTCCACCATGTCTGCTTTCCTTCTTCCCAACAGCTTTCCTCTTTTCTAAAGATGAACTGGCTTCTATCTCATGGTTACATTCCTTGCTCAGTTGATTCCTTGCCGACAGTGTGTTCACACCGTGGTGCAAATGCTTTTCTGTTGTCGCTACCTGGTTTTCTGTAAGGAAAAAAACAGACAAGCCATTAACGTTGTCTTCTGGATCTAGGACCCTGCCACAATTGTAGAATTCTACATGCCAAAGAGAAGAATGAAGTGGAAGGCTGTTTGTTTACTGAAGCTTAGAAATGAAGAGGAATGAGAATGAAATGCCATATAAAATACCAACAGATAGCAGTTCAAGAAGCAAAAGACTTCTTGGTACATGGAACTAGCTGCACGGTCCTTGGATCTTGGCCTAAATTTCTAGAAGTTTCAGCCGTAGTTTCATAAAGTCAACCACTGAACACCCACCAGACCTAGCAACACTCATCCTACATAATTAAATGGAGGGGAAAAGAGAACGGTAAAGGCTTTCCCCCCCTTAAGTAACAGTGGCCCCGGTCACACGTGCCGGAAAATGGGGGGGGGGGCTGGCTATTTGCGGTGGCGCCATTAGACCCACGACAACGCGATCAGAAGCATCGGCGGCAAACCACGGTTCCATCCCTTGGCGTGTATGCTTCAACAAAGACGGCCGGAGGGAAAAGCTGCGCTGGCACGATCACACGGACGGGGTCTGTTGGCAGCCCGTAGCAAACCATTCGCCAGTACTTTTGATCAGGTAGTTTTTAACTGCGCATTTTCGGCGGCATGCCATGGGAAATGAGAAAAGTTGGTCCCACATTCATAGCACACAGTCTGTGTCTAGAACTGTATGTGACACCCCCCCCCCCAAAAAAAAACCCCTTCAATGCGGATGACATAGAACGAACCTATGTTTAACAGGTGTGCTGGAAGAACCTAAAAAGCCTTCTCAAAAAGATCTCACCTCAAACTTCCCACCACAGGTTTGAAATAGTATGTGAGCTGGAAAGCCCCTTGGCCGTCTTCCGGTCCACTGTTGGACCGATTCAGCTGACTCTCCCAGGAAGAGGCGGACAAGACTCGGGCAGCTGTGAAGCCCACCACTTGCTTCCTAGATCTGTGGCCATCTTGGCTGGTTGAAGCCTGTGGAGACGGATTTTAGGCTTCCCTGGGAGAGATTATCAACATGTCTCTATCACCAGGGACGTACCCTTAAGGAGGGGGTGGTGTGACAGCTCTTTTTTTTTAAAAAAAAAAGCTCTTTGGACCCTGTGGTCCTAGCCAAATACCACCCAGTATTGAACCTTCCGTTCCTGGGAAAGGTAGTTGAAAGAGTGGTTGCTGAACAGCTCCAGGTGTTCCCAGATGACTCCTCTATCCGGGATCCAAACCAGTCCAGCTTCTGCCTGGGCCACGGGATGGAGACTGCACTGATCACCCTTACAGATGACCTCCGTAGACACCTGGATTGAGGCGGGTCATTGCAGCTGGTACTCTATCTAACAGCAGCATTCAATACAGTCTACTATGATCTTCTTATTCACTGACGTGGGGATACAGGGAATCGCATTGCAGTGGCTGTCTTCCTTTCCCCATGGTCGGGGACAGAGGGTGGTGCTTGGGGAGAGGATCTCGCCACATTACTCTATGGTATGTGGCATCCCGCAAGGGGCAATCCTCTCCATGATGTTATTTAACAGCTACATGCACCCCTTTGCCCAGTTAATCCAGGTGCTTGGGCTGGGTTGTCACGAGTACGCTGATGACACCCAGCTTTACTTACTTATGGATGGCCGGACTGTGCCCTGGATATTTTGGCTAAGGCTTTGGAGGCTGTGGCTGATTGGTTACAGCAGAGGCAGCTGAAACTTAATCCAGCTACAACAGAGGTCCTGTTCCTGAGTCGTGTGAGGGTGGTTTTGGGAATCCAACTTCCAGCTCTTAGTGGGGTGCTTCTGACAAGGAGTTTAGGAGTGATCCTGGATGTCTCCATTTCTATGGAAGCTCAGGTCACTAATGTTGCCAGGTCAGATTGTTACTAGCTTTGGCTGATCAGGCAACTGGTTCCCTACCTCTCCTCCCACAATCTGGCAACAGTGATCCATGAAATGGTCACTTCCAAGCTTGACTACTGCAACTCACTCTATGTGGGCCTACTCAAGAAGAAGAAGAGGAGGAGGAGGAGACTGGATTTATACCCGCTCTTCACTACCCAAGGGAGTCTCAGAGAGGCTTACAAACTCCTTTCTCTTCCCCTCCCCTGTGAGGTAGGTGGGGCTGAGACAGCTCTGACAGAAACTGCTCTTTTTCAAGAACAGCTCTGACAGAAGTATGGCTTGCCCAAGGTCATCCAGCAGCTGTGAGTGGAGGAGCAGAGAATCAAACCCGGTTCTTCCAGATTAAAGTCCGCCCACTTAAATCTGATCCAGAAGCTTCAGCTTGTACAAAATGAAATGTTTCACCTGCTGACTGGGACGTCTGTGCGGGCGCACATTCAGCCAGTGTTGCGCCAGCTGCACTAGTTACCGGTTGAGTACCGAATCAGCTTCAAGGTTATAGTGTTAACCTTTAAGGCCCTATGCGGCCAGGGACCAACATACCTGTGGGACTGTCTCTCCCCATATGTGCCCCGAAGAGCCTTGCCTTGGCCAGGTCTAGGGCCTTTTCAGCCCTGGTCCTGGCATGGCAGAATATGCTCCCGGTTGAGTTCAAGACACCGTGGGATCTGTTGCAATTCCGCAGGGCCTGTAAAACAGAGCTGTTCTGCCAGGCCTTTGGGTGAGGTGGTGGACATCAAATAACATTGGCCTCCCCTGCTTCAAGCAGGGTGCTATTTAGATCATGGTGCTATTTAGATCAATTGGTGCCAGGAGCAACTGACTACTCCATCAAGCGATCCGCCGTCATTTCCTGGCATGAGTGTAGCTTTCATTGGAACTGAAATCAATGGCCGAGCTGTTAATAGGTATTTGAATGAGTTATTTAACTTTAATTTTAATTTAGTTGGAGCCTGGGTTTTATGGTGTAATGTTTTTACTGAACTATTTTACAGTTTTATGATGATGTAAGCTGCCCCGAGCCTGCTTTGTGAGGCAGGGTGGGGTATAAATTATCAAAAATAAAGAAATAAATAAGAGGGTGGGGCAGCATCAATGACAATGGCAGGCGTTTTGGCATAGTGAACACTGCTGGACTTGGCCCAGGCCATTCAGCATTCTTCACGGCTAAGCAAGGATCAAAAAGCGGAGCAGTGGCACAATGGGTATATCCCACTGTCTTAACATCTGAACTGTGTTAGTTCAAGCCCCGCGCTAGTGTGAGCAGCCAGCCTGTTGTCCCCAGCTCATCGTCCACCCAGCGATTCAAAAGCTTTGGCGAGTAGATAAAATGGGAACCACTCCTTAGAGAGGGTGGGCACGCCAATCTCCCTTGTGGGAGGGTGTTAGCTGACGGTTGGACGTCCTTGTCGAGGCTTGGAAGGCGAAATAGCTTCTCGGCTACGAAAGAAACCCTGCAATGGATGTTCCGGCCAGGCGGTGGCAGTGTGGTGATTGACATACGGGTCCTGAAGCCTGGCCAACTAGCAGCCGTGCAGAAAACGACGGAGCCAAGCCAGAAGATGTCTATACCGGGCAGTGATGGTGCGTGCAATTAAAAATGAATATATGTTGTCTTCCCTATTCCCTACAAACATTGTTAGTCCCTTGTCTATATTGAGTAACTGTACATCATTTTGAGCCCACTGGGGAAAGTGATTAATAAATGGAAAGTATAAA